ACGGAAGAATAAATCATAGATGAGCATATTGCTTTTATGGCAGGGGGTAAAATGTGCAATGGATTGGAACATACAGACTATGTAATGGCAGAAGCTAAGTTGAACAGATGGTAATCTACATGAATGCAGCAGCATGAAACAGTTAATGTACATCTGTGTACAATTTGTACCATATGACAAACAAAACAATATGACGGTCGCTTACTTAATTTTGTACAAACTTGTACAAACAAGGTATGTATTGTGAAGTATTTGTTTGTGTGAAAGTTGTCCGAATAAGTTGTGATTTATGAATGGAATCATCAATGTAACTCAAAATTTCATTGTACAAATCTGATCATTTTTTTTACACAAAGTGCATCAGTTGCCAAAAAATGGTACATATACTAACTGAGGAACAGAAGATTGATTATAGTATACAATCTGTGAACAATTAGAAAATTGATATTTCACAATCAATGTTAAAGTTGTCCGAATAAGTGAAGCTGGTTGTGTTCCTGTAACTCCTCTAAAGCCATATCACAGCGTATGGAGGTTGATTGAATCTATGTTTGATAATTGAACTGCACTTGCATTCTAATAAAAGGTTTCATTACCCTTAAATGCTTTCTCACGATATTTCAGTTGATTAGATTAATCCACGATGATGTAAGTGTTTACATCAGCATGCATGTGCTTACAAATTTGAGAACATAGTATTAGTGTATATTACTAAGAATATGAACTGGTCAAGTTTGGAAAAGATGATGTAGATCACGACAATGTTTGTCTAATAGGAAAACTCCAATGGTGTACAATATTATTTCAAGAAAAAAAGATAGCCGGACAAGATGCCAAGTACAAAGCTAAACCCAAATCAAGTACAAAGCTAGTCAATTTTTGGACTAACAGAAACTCCAATCAAGTACAATATAAAATTATTTAGAGAAAGACCGACAGCCGGTCAAGATGGAAAGTAGAAAGGCAAACCCAAGTCAAATCATAGGAGGCGTGTGCAAATTAATAAGTTATGAACACCTAATGATACCCATCTAAGTTGGTCACTAAAATATGAACAACCGCATAACAGTGTTCATAAAGCAATACAGAGGA